TCCATGTCACCGACAAAGATGTTAAACACCATCAGTCCCAATACCGACCCCTGAGGAACACCACCCATCACTGGTCTCCACTTGGACATCGAGCCCTTGACCGCAACTCTTTGAGTGTGACCATCCAGCCAATTCTGTATCCACTGAGTGGTTCATCCGTCAAATCTACATCTCTCCAATTTAGAGACAAGGATGTCACGTGGGACAATGTCAAATGCTTTGCACAAGTCCAGGTGGATCATGTCAGTTGTTCTTCCCTTATCCACCAATGCCGTAACCCCGTTGTAGGAAGTCACCAAATTTGTCAGGCATGATTTGCCCCTAGTGAAGTCATGTTGGCTGTCACAAATCACCTCCTTATTTTCCATGCACCTTACCATAGTTTCCAGTGCTCCATGATCTTGCTGGGCACAGAGGTGAGACTGACTGGTCTGTAGTTCCCCAGCTCTTTCTTTTTTCCCCTTTTTAAAAATGGAGGTTTTGTTTTCCCTTTTCCAGTCAGTGGGAACTTCCCCAGACTGCCATGACTTCTCAAATATGATGGATAGTGGCTTAGCTACTCCATCCGCCAGTTTCCTCAGGACCCATGGATGCATCTCATCAAGTCCCATGGACTTGGGCACCTTCAGATTGCTTAGGTGGTTTTGAACCTGATCTTCTCCTGTGGTGAGTGGTTCTTCGTTCTCCCAGGCCCTGACTTTGCCTTCTGCGACTTGGGCAGTGTGACTGGAGCACTTACCAGTGAAGACTGAGGCAAAAAAGTCATTGAGTACCTCAGTCTTCTCCATGTCCCAGGTAACCAGGTCTCCCGTTTCCTTCCAGAGAGGGCCCATATTTTCCCTAGTTTTCCTTTTATCACTGATGTACCATAGAAGCTTTTCTTGTTGCCCTTGATGTCCCTGGCTAGATTTAATTCTATCGGGGCTTTAGCTTTCCTAACCTGATCCCTGGCTGCTGGGACAATTTCGCTGTATTCCTCAATTTCTCTGTATCCAGCAGAGAATACTCTCTGATCTCTGTTTTCTCATTTCCTCTCTTCTAGGCATCCCATACTCATGATGCAATCACTGAGGCTGCTCAACTGATGAAAGAGGCTGTGGATGATATCATGGTTACCTTAAATGAAGCTGCAAGCGAAGTAGGCATGGTTGGAGGTATGGTAGACTCGATAGCAGAGGCAATGAGCAAGGTGAGCATAGAACTCCAGATCCCTTTTTGTTTTGCACTTGAAAGCTGATAGACTTGGGGGGGGGGTGGAAGAGCTGCTGCAGATTCAGTTCAGCAATGGTTGGTAACTGACATGCTGTGATAGAAAGCCTAAAGATTCTTTGTTTTTTGTAGATTGTGAAATCAAACTGATGTGGGTGATGGCGCTTGCATTAACCTACAGGGTACCTATCAGTAGAATTAGTACAAAATATTTTTATTCAATAATATGCTGGTATTTAACAGCAATCTTGGGTCTACTGGCCTTTTATTTTTGCTTCCTTTTCCTATGTATCTTTCATGATAGTCTCCTAAAGGATCAGCAGGCCAAGCTTGAAGCAAACTACTTTCAGAGAAGATGTCAAAGCCTGAATTGCTCTGCTATGCTTTGTAAAGTATTCTACTGAAAACGTATAGTTGCAAAATGTAACTGAGTTCAATCCAAATAATAGGCTTTTCCTATCTCAAGTTCAAGATGTGCAAGATTGAAGCCTTTACTACGTAAAGGAATCTTACATTATCTTCCTGCAGGAACATTTTTGTTTTGTAACTGTTGCACATTCCTTTCTATGTTAGCCCAGAACTACAGGTGGTTTCACCTTGCATGAGAAGTTGACCTTGCATTTGAAAACTCTGCACTGTAAATTCTTTGCATCTTCCATGCTCGTAACATGGGCTAATGAATGTCTCTGTACATCCTGGTACACTGTTTTCACTTGCATATTTTGAGAGAGAGGAGATTGTGAAAATGAATATATAATATAATTGCATTATTACATGTAAAGTATACTATTCATTATGACATTATTATTTCTGCTTTATTTTTTCCTCTTTCTTGCAGCTGGATGAAGGTACACCTCCAGACCCCAAGGGAACATTTGTTGATTATCAGACCACTGTGGTGAAATATTCTAAAGCCATTGCTGTAACAGCACAGGAAATGGTAAGATACTTGGTTAGAACTAAGTACAAACTCTTCTGCATACGTAATGAATGTGGAATGATTTGCAGAGTGTTGTGAAACTCTTTGTAATGCTAATTTTCAATAACTTTATCTCTTTGGGGATAATGACACAAAGGAAATGATGATTTTGTCAATTAACTCTTGGATCTTAGTGGTGTGATCTTAGGGGTGGCCCTCTACGGAAGGAGTGCTGGATTGTGTGGTGGCTCTTGTGCACAAAAACTTTTTATTTGGCTCACTTTCTCTGAGAAATAAAAGGAAAATGTTTCACCTACACACTTTTTCATCAGCCTGTTTAATTGTCACTGAAATACTAGCTTATGTTTATTGATGCCTTCAGGTTACCCTTTCACATTTACTGTTTCATTTAGCCTGTGAAATAACATCAATCTTTTCAGAAGCCTGTAATACTTTTTAATGAATGCAGATCAACATCTCAAATTGTTCTTTTCTTGCATTTCTGTGATTCACCTGGGTTTAACAAAAGAACGAAGGACAGTTGTTGAATCAAGATTTTTCTTAACTCGTATTTCACAATAATGCTTACCATGACATGTTTGCCTTTTGAAGAGTACTTCCATTACTTGTTTGTTTTTGAGAGGCAAGGGGACTATTTATGTATGCTACAGATGGGGTTTTTTACAAAATTGATTGCTGTTGCAGTCAAGACACGTTGATGATTCTCCTGTCTATGACATTGCAGCTTATTGGCAAACAGTATAAATTTGTCTAAAACTAGTTTTGCCCCAAGGATGGAATTCCATGGCTTTTACTAACATAAATTGGAGACAGAAGAAATATCTCTGTTAAAAGGTAGGCTTTTTCTAAAGAGAGATTCAGTTGTTTATATGACATTCTACCGGGGCATTATGCATAGTGCTACTTATTTCTTCTTGGTCCTTTTCCCATATCTTAGATATGTTTTGCATCAGTCCTCAGATTTTTTTCCATTTTCATGCTCCCATGCCATGCCAGCTGAGACTGATGTAGGCTTTGATAAAATAAAATGGCTGCAACACACAAAACTTGCTTCCCCACCCAGTCCAAGTAACTGTGTACCTGGCTCATTGCCCTGCTGTGTCAAAGAGTGAATTACCAGCTCTAACTGCTGCTCTTTGATTACTCCGTATGTTCTGTGAGTGCCTGGTTACCATGACTCTAATAAAGCATGTTTGCTTGAGTTCCCTCATGGAATTCTTGCTGGAGGACAGGTCCTTTACATGGCAAGTGGTTTACCCTATTTCATCAGTGTGGCCAAACAAATGAGTGTGCTTCTAAGCTGGGGTGTATTAACAAATTCTCATGCCTGTCGTTTTTCTTTTTCTCTTGCCTGTGTTCTTTTTTCAGATGACTAAGTCGGTTACTAACCCGGAAGAGTTGGGAGGACTTGCATCACAAATGACCAATGACTATGGGCATTTGGCTCTCCAGGGCCGAATGGCTGCAGCTACAGCAGAACCAGAGGAGGTCTGCAGGTTTTAGACCTCTTTATTCTCTGTACATGGTGGTGTCAACATGGGTATTCTTTTACCGTAGAGAATACAATAAATACAGAGCGAAGTGACAAGGGGTATTCACCTCACTCAGTTGCAGCAACACACTTGCAGCCATTGCCAAATGCATTACATCCCTTGTATGAGCAGACAGATAATAGGTTTCGAACCATTGGGTAATGTGTTTTCTTTCAAATGTTTTTGTGATGATTCTAAAATTAATGCACTGTGCGTTTCCACTGCCTTTGCTTCATCAGCCACTTTTGTACTCAAGCACTGTCTGTTCTGTGTGTGCTATACCTGATCCGCTCCCTCTGGCCCACTGACACTCGAAATGTGGGACAGGACAGCACATCTGTTTCCAGGAGAATTTCATTTGGCCTACTATCACTTGATATAAACCATGATGTGAACCGAGTCAACGTTATAGGCGTACTTTGGCTATACAGATCTGTCTCTTTTACGATCTACTTTTTTTTCCACTAAAACCAGACTTTAAGACACAAACTATATGCAGCCAGACAAAAACTCCACTGAGTTTGTTTTCACTGGATGGAAAGGAACTGATGGGTGTAGTGAAATTGTGTGTCTTTTCAAAATGCTGTGAAATCTTAGAATATCAACAGCTTTTTATATGTATGTGTCGTGAGTACTGTTTCCTTCTTGCGGTTCGTGGAGAGATACCTATTTTGGTCTTTGCTATCGACCTTTCCCTCCTCCAAATATACTCTATATTCAGTGTGCCTTCACAGGTTGGGGCAGAGCTGCACGTAGTACTACAGAGTACATATTTACTGGTAACACACCTCCGTTTTGCCACTGCTCATGTGCATGGGTGTATAACGATAGGAATTAGGATTTACTACAGAATGTTTTCAGTGAACGTTCAGAACTTCAAACCAGCTTCACTTCTGTTTCTCTTCAGCCCTCCTGTTGCTCTTGATACATGTGAATTGTCTACAGAACAACTTTTCTCATAGGAGTGCTATAAATTTGCAGACTTTTAACAACACTTAGAGACTATGCAAAAGACATAACATTTTACTTCGTAAGTGTAGCTTTTTATGCTACAAGCTTTGTTATAAGAATTACCCAATCAAAGAACAGAAACCTTTTGTCAAAACCTCTGCCCAGCTTCAGAAAGAAACAGCTTGTGATAGTAGTGGACAATTCTGTAGACTGGGATGGTACCTCCTAAATTACTTGAGGCTTTCACTTACAGACAACTTGCAAATACAAAAAAACCTCTTTAATTATTTACTATACAGTTTTCCTTGAATCTCTCATGTTTTGATGAATTACAAATATATGTATATATATGCTTTTTTTTATTGTGCCTGTAAGCGATTTCAAGTATAACTTCCTGTTCTGAAAATGAGATGCAGGCAACCAGCAGGAGCACAAGTATCTTTTGCTGACAGGACATCTTTTGTACCTGAGAGTCAGAATATGATGCACAAGGAGTGGGTTCCCCGTGCAGTCTTACACGCCTCAGGCTAATGGAGGAATACAGATTATTCACCTCAGTTGCATTAAGCTGTTACAGTAGTTGCTGCATGTTCTCTGAGCAGAGTTTCAGAAATCCTTTCATTGCTCTCTTCTTGCTGTGTGCCTCTGGTTTTGGGGCATAGACAAACTTTGTTGAGATGGGGTAAGAGGGTATCTCACCATCACCGGATGTATCAGATTATCTAGATAAAAGATTTTCAGAGAGTTTTCGGCTTTGTAATTACATTCCACCACTGATAGACTACTCCAGTGTTTCGTGCTCAGTAGATCTGTGAAACGCAACAGCTTGCATTCTGCTCGATACTGTTAAATCGAATTACCATTTCTGCATGTTACTTTCTGCCTGGAGTTGAAATAATTCCATTTGTGACACTAATGACTGTGATTCCTGCTCTACTTATTAATCCCAATACACACCCATGTGCCTAAGTACCTGCAGGTACTAAAACTATCACGTTTCTAAACAGGGACCGTGTGGCTTACACTGTAGGATTATTACTAAATCAGAAGAGGTGAGGGCAGGATTCTCCAGGTTTCAGTGCTCCACATGTACCTGTTCAGTTCTAGAGTTGAGACTGTGCAAGATTCAAAAACAGACAGTGTCAAACATTTTTTAAACCCAATTTCAGCAGCGTAAAGGAGTACTTTTTACCCATCATACATACCTTGAATACAACTCGTGCTGCTGGTGCAGTTCTGGGAGATGAAGTAGTGTTATTCAAATATGGTGAAGTTGTGTGTGCTTGTATTACGTATGCTTGACTTGGGTGCACACCTTATGCCTTTTCTTTCCTGGGGTCTGGTTCACTAGTGTTCCTCTTTCATCAGTAAACCTTTTATAGGGTTGTGCTAACTGAGTAGATGGTATTACATATGTCCTTTTTCTGATCTCTGCAGAGTGTATAGGGATGGGTGGAATATTGGTAATAAAGATTCGCCACAGTGGCCTTGTTTCCATTTGTGTTGGTACAGTGTACCAGATGACATTTATTTATTCACT